GCAGTGTCAGGTGACTGAAACCAAATTTCTGAACAATATGGCCAGGGTGAAGATTTCTTTGGGTACACTGGGTAGAGTGTGCTCATGTGGACGACACAACCTGTGCTGTGTTTTTTCCTTTCTGATTGGTCAAGATGGCTGGGTTCACACTCAATGCAGAACGGACCGAGAGGGATATAAAAGGAGGTCGGACCCAGGTACAAGTGGACTGGTCAGCTTTAAGAAGGTGGGACTTTGGCTGTACAAATCTCCTGGAGTTTTCGTTTATTTAATGTTTTTTACATGACATAAAGCCCAACCTATAGTGTTTTATGAATGTGTACACCTACCATAACCCTAAACCCAATCTCACAGTAACAAGTTGTGTTTTATTAACGTTTACCACAACCCTACACCCACACTACTTGCGGTGTAATCCCTGCCATTTGGATACCAGCGATACCTTCTTGGACTGACCCGGACATCCCCTTCCCTGAACCCACCGGATAATGTTTTCAAAAGAAAACTACACGAGAAAACTTCACACAGCTTTTCTATGGTTAACCTTATATCTGAAACCATCCATGCTGGATTTGAACACTGGTCGACTCCACATTCCAAGTCTAATGCCATACGAGGTGAGCTACTGAGCAAACTGACCACTCAAGAAAGGTCATTCATATGGAGATAAACAGTTAGCAGTTATAACTGATGGGTCGAGGACAACGGAGATGAGGATCCAAATGCAGTTTATTAATAGATTTGTTAGGCAGGCAAAGGTCAAAACAAGGACACACAGAAGCATGCAGGTAATCCAAAGAGAAGACAAAATAAAAGGTGAAGACTCGGGAACATGTGGTTAAACAATAAACAGAACAGAGTCAAAACATAGCAAGGCTAAACAAAAAAGCTTTAGTATGCTCACATTTTACAAGACTGAGCAAAGAGTGTGACAAAGTGAGGTGTTTAAATAATCCTGGTCATCAGTCCATCATCTGTGAGTGTAATCAGGGGTGATCCGGAACTGGTGTGTGTGTGAGGTACATGATGGGATATGTAGTTTGTAGTATGTCATATGTGTAGTTCTCCAGCGATCTGCAAACGCTAGATTGCTGGAGATCGTAATGAATGGAAGTTGTTGGCAGCCTCATACTGCACTATGGTGTTTGTTTTATATACACCATAAAAAAAAAAATTCTGTATTAGCAGTTTTTTTTTTTAATTAGCAGTTTTATTTATTTTTTATTTGTATTGTTTGTTTGCATTCCCCTGTTTATTTCTTCTTTTTGTAATTGCCTTTTGGGACATTAATCTTTCTTCCAACAACGTTAAACCTTGAAAAGTTGGAAAAAGTGACTTTTATGAACATGTTTAACAGTTTGCAGTGCTGTAGTGTCTGGGTAGACATTGTATATTAATCTATAAAAACCTTGTAATAAACTGCCAGTACATTTTCTGTTATCTTAGAGACTTATTTCTCTAGATCAGTGGTTCTCAAACTGTGGTACGTGTACCACTAGTGGTACGTGGGCTTCCTTCTAGTGGTACGCGGAGGAATGAAATATGTCATGTACATGCTACACACATTTCAAAATTTATCAAAAATGATGTATATAATATGTCATATATGACATATAGCCTATATTTCTGAGGTAATCTGCCACGTTTTTTATCTGAGCAGAGTTGTAGCCGCTTTACTGAGCCTACTACGCTACTGTATTTCAATACTGCTCATTTTTGGTGGTACTTGGAGAGACAATTTTTTTCTGAAGTGGTACTTGATGAAAAAAGTTTGAGAACCACTGCTCTAGATATATCATTTCTTATTCATGATGCTATTTCAAACTTCTAATATGTCAATAAGTCACTTTGTTTAACTGTAGAGTTGAATTTTCAACATCGATTGAGCAGAGATCAACATTAAAATATTGCAATTCACTACTGTAAATAAACCCAAAACACTTATGAATCACTAAATACAGAAACTGTTCATTTACTGCAAATTTTATATTGTACTAAATACAGCCGGACCAATTCCAGGGCATGCATTTGCAAATTCCCAAATATGCATCCCTGGGCACGTATCCCCAATGAGTCTGTGTTGCTTATAAAAGCTGTGGACGGCTGAGGGTTCGCTACCTTCCATACAGACTGCTTGTGAACCTTTTCTTCCTTATTTTCCTTATAAAACAAGCTGAAATCCCTGTGTGTAAACAGTAGATGCAGCAGAGAGATGTTGAGGTTTGTTGAACATACAGTATGAATGTTTTATATCAGCGTGAGTTTGTCTAACACGGCTTCTCTCTTTCTTGTGGGACTGAAAGCATTTTTTATTTTACTTTATTTAAGTTTTAAAACTCATGTATGTTGACTTCAATGTTAAATTAATTATGGAATACAATTTGGGCGACACGGTGGCGCAGTGGTTAGCATTGTGGCCTCATGACAAAAAGGTCACTGGTTTGAGTTCTGGCTTCAGTCCAAACGCATGCGCTATGAGGGAATTGATTAACTAAATTTGCCGTAGTGTATGAGTGTGTGTGTGTGCATGTATAAGTGTGTATGGGTGTTTCCCAGTACTGTGTTGCAGTTGTAAGGGCATCCGCTGCGTAAAACATATGCTGGATAAGTTGGCGGTTCATTCCGCTGCGGTGACCCCCGGATTAATAAAGACACTAAGCCAAAAAAAAAAAAATGAATATATATTTTTTCTGTTACTTAAGGCAATCATACAATTACAAAAAAGTGTTGCTTATAAATAACATATTTCAGCATAAATTGGCCAAAACATGAAACAATAACAACAACAGACCGTCGGCTTAATTAACACAGATAATTATAAAATGCATTCGCTGAATATACAGTGTGCTTATGCTGCAGTAACAAAGGGATGTGAACTTTAAAATAACTTGTTTACTCTCTTTTTGATGCAATAAATTTCAGAAAAGTCCTTAATTACAGATCAAACCCTGAACAAAAAACAAACAGGAGGATTTTCAGCTTTCTTAACTTAAAACTTTTTTTGTACTCAGAAACTTCTAACAAATGTAATCAGAATTTGACAATGTGCCAAATAAGACTAAAATAATGTCATTTTTTACAATATCAGATCAATTTATTCAGAAATCCCTCATAGTTCCAGTGACTCTTATAAAACTACTGGAAGCTGCATGTATCTTTACACTAATAATCATCATAAATCCATTCTAAACGCTCTCTATTCCCCAAACGACATCTCATTCCCATAATGCATCCTCACATAACAGCAAAGCGCTGCATTATGGGAAAGCACAAACTCATGGGAGAGAAAACCTGGAGATCCTGATTTACAAAAACAGCAGTCGTCAAGGTCTCACAGCCACGGGTTCAGAAACAAACACGTCAACATGCAGTAAAATCTGCTTCTGACTGCACACTTACATCATGCACAAACACACACACATTGGTACTGGTGGTTTACAGGGACTCCTCATAGGCGTAATGTATTTTATACATTAAAAAAAAAAAAAAAAACGGTTATTTAATGTCTAAACCAAACCTGTGCTGAAATTTGAATGTCAATTAGTTCACTAAACTGTTCTGAATTACAAGGACATCAAGCATGTCCTCATAAAACACCAGTACTACTATGTCATACCCATCTCTTTATACAAAAACTGTCCCTGTAAACCACAAAAACCAATGCACACACATGCTCAGACACGTGTACACATGTAGCTATTGGTGGGGCTGGGGCTCCCCTTAGGCATTATGTATTTTATACAGTAAAAACTGCTTATTATATGTCTGAGCCAAAACTGTTGTAAAATTTGAACATCAAAAGAACTCATTTAATATGATTTTCGAACATGTCCTCCTAAAACACAGTGATACCACGTCAATCATAAGTCATTATACAAAAGAACTGTCCTGGTAAACTACAAAATCCAGTACACACACATACACACAGTATTTATTTATTTATTTATTTATTTATTTATCTTTTTTTGGGGGGGGGGGGGGGGAGGAGAGACAAGTAGAAAAAAAATTTAAGCACTTTTGTAAAATGACTAGTATACATAGCTCACATACATTCACAAGTCCTTATAACATTTAGCACTCAATACAGAAACCATCTCGGTCTTCATGCTGTATTTGTATGCTCCCCATGAATTCTGAAACTGAACAAAACACACACATGCACACACACACACATGCTGTGTTTTTTAGCCCAAATGCATGGGACTATAAAAAAGATGCTCAGATAAAAAGGTACAAAAGCTTTTACTGGTGCATACCCTTTCATAATGGACAATAAAGTGGCATTTAAGTACAAATATATACACTTTAGGAACACAAATGCACCTTTGATGTACTAATATGCTCCCTTTTGGGGTAAATAAGGTAACAAAAAAATCTTTTTTTTCTGAAAGCTTGTTCTCAATCTACTGTATTATTGAAGCTCTTAACTGAATGTTAACTCTTTTCATCTGAACAGTCCTGCAACTTTACATCTGGGCTCATTTTATGATGCGCCTCTTGAAGATGAATCATTTATGTTGTATTTCTCATTTTCGTCACTTGCTTTGGATAAAAGCATCCGCTAAAAAGGCACAAATGAAAAGGGATTCTTTAAGACTGACTGACTGCACTGTCATTTTGTGTGTTATGAAATCAGATGAATATGTTTAGAGACAGAGAGAGAGAGAGAGAGAGAGAGAGAGAGAGAGAGAGAGAAAGAGAGAAACAGGCAGGCAGAGGGAGACTAAAGGCTGTGTTGCTGAAGTCTGGATGATGGAGCACAATACAGCTGATTCTGGGGCCCTCAGGAAAGGGCTTATAAAACTGATGTATAGCATTGTGTGCAAACCCTG